ATTGTGTTAGTTTTGGTAGGTTGTTTACTTTTAAAAATTTGTCCATTCCTTCTAGATTTTATGAAGTACAGTTCCTCATAGTATTCTGTTATTATCTTTTTCTATTCCAATTGGTTCTGTTGTGGTATCACTTATTTCATTTTCTAAAATATTTTTATTTTTTATTGTGATTTGGGAAAGATTACAGAGCAAATGGTTTTCCATTCAACAATCCATACACACTCCGTTTTGTGACATTTACTACAATCTTTACACTGTAACAGCATTCTTTCCACTTCCCTCCTATGCCCACCACTTCCCTCCATTCTTCCTTCCTATACCCTCCCATGTTCATAGCTCTATCCCTGGGCAAATTCTGTCCTCTTGATCTCATGTGCTTGATTGGTGTAATGAGGGCCTATCCTGATATTACTGTTTACCTTATAGGTCTGTGTGTTGTTTGGATTCTTGTTCCCTATGTCATTTTTTATTCATGTTATGTGCATCTTCTCCTTCTTTTCCTTTGTTAAATTTGCCAATGGTTTGTTGATTTTATTAACGCTTTCAAAGAACCAACTTCTAGACTTGTTAATTCTATTGTTTTTCTGTCTTCTTCATTTATTTCTGCTGTAATCTTTATTATTTCCTTTCTTCTGGTGATTGTAGGTTTTTTTTTTTTTTTTGATTGTTCTTTTTCTAATTGTTGGAGATGTAGGGTTAAGTTGTTGATTTTGGTTCTTTCTTTTTTGATGTTTGTATCTATTGGTATAAATTGTCCTCTTAGCACAGCATTTGCTATGCCCTAAAGATTTTGGTATGTTTTGTTTTCATTCTTATTTGATAAAAGGAATTTTTTTAATCTCATATTTTATTCCTTTCATTGCTCAGTAGTTTTTAAGTAGGATGTTACTCAGTTTCCATATATTTTTTTAATTGTCCTTCCTGTTATTGATTTCTAATTTTATAGCATTGTGATCTGAGAAGATGCTTTGTAGTGTTTCAAAATTTTTAAATTAATTTAGCCTAGCTTTGTGGCCTAACATATGGTCTATTCTGCAGAATGCTCCCTATGCACTGGAAAAGAATATATACTATGCTATTGTTGGGTAAAGTGTTCTGTATATGTCTATGAGGTCAAGTTGGTTGATTGTGTTCTTTATATTCTCTGTATCTTCATTGAGTTTCTTTCTTGTTCTGTTCTTCATCAAAAGTATTATATTAAGGTCTCCTGCTATTATTGTGGAGTTGTCTATCTCTCTTTTCAATTCTGTTAAAGTATGATTTATGTATTTTGCTTCTCTTTCTTTGTATGTGCAGATATTTAGAGGTTATATCCTCTTGTTTGACTGTCCTATTAATTATTATATAACATCCATTCTTGTCCCTCATGCTGGTTTTTGCCTGAAAGTCTATTTTTTAAGAAATTAATATTGCCACTCCTGCTCTTTGTTGCAATTTGCCTGATATATGCTTTTCTATTCTTTGACTTTCAGCTTATTTTGTCTTTGTGTCTCTTGTAGACAGCATATTCATAGGTCAAGAGGTCAAGTTTTCTTATCTATTCTGGTACTCTGTCTCTTAACTGGTGGATTTAATCCATTTACAATTATTCAGTGTAATTATTGATAAGTATAAGCTTACTGCTATCATTTTGCTGTTTTTTTTTTTTTCTTTGTAGTGCAGACAATTTCTTTGTTCCATATATTTTTCTGTGCTGAGTTCATTTTTACGGATTTTCTTATCACTTCCTTTGTCACTGTTGTTTTAGTGTTTACTAGGTTTTTATGATTTTCTTCTTTTTTATTTTGGTGAGGTTTATTCATTTTCTTTGATGTTATCCTATAATTTATTATTTTCTTCCTAAATTCGAAAGAATCCATTCTATTTTAATATCATCTTCAGTTCCTCTCCATTTGGAAATTTTGTGACTACACCACTTATTCCCTCTTTCTGCTTTGTAGTTGTCCTTGTTTACAAATTGATGTCTCTAGTTCTCTATTTTCAATCTTGTAGGTTTTTTATTTTTAATACTTCTGTATCTGGGTTTGTTGCTGAGTTGTCATGTGTGTTAATCTCAGGATGTTGTCTGCCATTGTTGCTTCTTTGTCCAAAGAACCCTCTTTAGTATTTCTTATTAATAAATCCAGTGACTACACTGTGCTGGGCCAGTTGACAATCCACTACTCGGTATATATCCTGTTCATTCTTTTTGTTCAATTTCTTCTTCTAATCAGTATTTGATCTACTTCTTTATCCTTTTTTTTTTTTTTTT